ACGACCACACTATGAAGAACGACATAAGGAGCAAGAGCGAGGAGAGCTGACTGATGAGAGAAGAAGAGGGAAGAGAGGGAAGAGAGAGAAGAGAGAGAAGAGAGATGAACGAGACCCAGGAGAACGAGAGAGAGACGATTGAGAGATGAAGAGAACCGACGAGAGATGAGAGATGGGAGAGAGCGAAGAGAGAGATGAGCTGAGGAGGTAGTGAGAGAGTAGAGACAAGAAGATGCGAGAGAAGGAAGAGAGGAAAAAGAGTGGAGAGAGAGAAGAGAAAAGAGGCGAAGATGAGAGATGAGAGAGCGAGAGAGAGAACCGGGAAAGGGAGGGACGATAGATGACGAGGAGACGAAGAGAGAGACAGAGCGAGAGAGAGAGGGAAGAGAGGATGATGAGAAAGAGACGATGAGATGAGGATCAGCAGAAAGAGAGAGAGAGAGACGAGAGAGAGAGGGAAGATGAGAGAGTGAGAGAGAGAGAGAGAGGAAGGAGGAGAGAAGAAAGAGAGAAGGAGAGAGAGAGAGAGAGGAGAGAGAGAGAGAGAGAGAGAGAGAGAGAGAGAGAGAGAAGAGAGGAGAGAGAGAGAGAGAGAGAGGAGAGAGAGGAGAGAGAGAGAGGAGAGGAGAGAGAGAGGAGAGAGAGGAGAGAGAGAGAGAGAGAGAGAGAGAAGAGAGAGGAGAGAGAGAGAGAGAGAGAGAGAGAGAGAGAGAGACGAAGAGAGAGAGAGAGAGAGAGAGAGCGACACACACCACACACAGACATACATCATCTAGCCACAAACAGCAACACCCCCCCGCCCCTCCCCCCCAAAAAAAAAAAAAAAAAAAAACGAAAGAGGAAAACTTAAAGAGAAAAGAAAACATCCGGGACCTGATCAGCTGGAGCCCCGGCACTCTCCGAGGAGTGACTAAGCGTATGAAAACGTTACGTCATTGAAGAAGGAGCAGGGGAGAGCGGCGAGGAAAGAGGAGAAGGAAAAGAAACGGGGAGAAAAATGCGAAAGTGGGAAAGGAAAAATTATCATCATTTTTCTCTTATCGTTTGTTGGCTTTGCATGATTATCGTTATTGTTGTTGTCATTTTCGTTATTATCGTTATCTGGATCTTCTTTTCATTATCATTACTATCATCTTTATTATTATTGTAAATATTACTATAATTATTGCCATTATCACTATCATTATTATTAGTACTTTTATCTTTATCATTGCTGCAATTATTACTATAATTATTGTCATTATCATTATTATTAACGTTACTATTATAACTATTATCATTATTATTATCATTAACATTATTATCATTATTACTATTATCATTATCTTTATCATCATTATTATAATGCTTATCATCATCATTATCATAAATATTATCATTACTATTATCATAATTCTTATTGGTATAATTTTCATAATCATCATTATAATAATCTAATGATAGTAATCATAATAACAATGACAATTATGATCAGTACCATTATAGGAATTACCTTTACTGCCATTATCATAATGATTACTAATATTATTTCTATCATTGTCATCATCATCACCATCATCATAATAATAGTGATAACAATAATGATGATAATAATTATGTTGATCATAACATTACTAATATTATTACTATTAATAATAATGATAATAATGATGACTATTATTACATAATAATAATAATAATAATAATAATAATAATAATAATAATAACAACAATAACAGGAATGAAAATAAAATGATAATTATAATGATAATAAAGTAATACAAATACGAATAGTAATGATAATGATTATTATCATTATCATCATCATTATTACTATCGTCATCCTCATCATCTTTATGATTCCTATTTTGGTGTATCATTGCGACTACCAATTAATATTTTCTTACTACAAGCTTTATTACTATTGTTACATAAAGCAACAACAATTAATTATGTGGTATAACGTTACCCTTTACTCATATTACAATAGCTTTTATCTCAGTGTTGCCAGAACATAGTAACCCTGGCCATTCCTTAGGGACAGGTGGTAATTAAGAAGCAAAATAAACAGCCGTATTTTGAAAAGTCGCGGGAGCTATGATAGCAGGAGTAGTAGTAATAATATTGCTGTTATTATTATCGTTATTGCTGTTTTTGTTATTAATATCATGATTATCATTATCTTATGATTAGTATTATCGTCATTATTAAATTCCTTATCATTATTGTTAATATTATCATCGAGATCGTTATCATCGTCAAAATTGTTATTATTATAAATTTATAATCATTTTCAGTATTATCCTTATCATTAATATTGTCATTGCTATTTTCGGTTATCAATATCATTATAAATTCCAAGATTATCATACGTATTTAAAAGCGTTAGATAAACACATAAACGATATTCAATTTAACATAAACTTTTGCGCTGAAAACCACCTCCTTTGAAAGTGAAACGTCTTCGCAACAGGTCAAGAAACTCGCAATGATTTTCGTCTTTATATTTCGACGATCGCTTCGACCAACACACATGATATAACAAACTTACACCGGCTGGAATGAAAAAGAACAGTAGTTACATCACCAACAGTGTGTCATTCACTGCCTCGAACGGAACTGGTAAGAAGAAAGCGAGACCGCATTTTTTTCCTCCTTATTTAACGTTATAAAAAAAAGTCTTGCTTCTTTTATTGAGCGATCGTGCGTTACGGAAAAGAAATAGGTAAAGTCGTACCGTCAAGTCCCTCTCCGTTTTCTATTTTAAATCTTTATAATCTGATACGATAACAGAATACATCGAAAAGTAATGTATATACAGCGTGTAAATACAATCCTTGCAACGGAATGATACCTTTCCGTTGCAGAGAAACACGTGCGCGACGCCATGGGAGGTTGGCAGCCCTGGGTCGAACAGAAAACGTTTCGTCATCATCGGACAGCGAAAGTCAACAAAGAAACACGTGATATTGGCGAGTGTTACATGATCGTGGTCAAACAACCTTACGAGGGGAATATGGGATATATTCCGTACTGCATTATAGTATCTGTTATTCATTCTTTTGTGTATTAATTGCTAAAGGTTGAAACTTTCCCTTCTGAATGGAGAAAAGAACTGTTAAGTCATTCCGTAAATTTTAAACGGATTGTGCCATTAACGTTTTTGTGATTCTGCCTCTAACGTTCAAGATAATTTGGTATCTCTTTTGATCACGCTTTTCTATGTAAGTTTACAAATTAGTTATATACTCGGCGTGAAATAACAATGGATATATATATTATGTCTTTACTAAGTCTCTTGGGTCTCCAAGTTGATATTCAGATGCACAGAACCGTAAAGTATGCTGCAGAAGTCACAAAAGCCTACAGCACCATAAAAAGAATAAACACATGAAAGAAATTCAACTTATTATAACTTACCTTTGCCAGAACTCTCACTCGGACGATCTGTCACGTTAACCGGCGTGCGTTGAGTCCTATGATCCGAAAGGAAAACCTACGACCATATCCTAAAACCACTGTGGATATTGATCTTTCCTCTTCCTCATTAAATTCAACAAAAATCCGACGCGTGTTTAAACAGTTACGCCCTAAAAACAGCGTCGTTTAGGCCGATTTCGCTCCCGCCGACGACTTAACGCGGAGACAGCAGTCGGCGCTAATAAATACAACGCGCGCTTCGAGAGAGAGAGAGAGGCACAAACCTACCCGTAAGAGAGAAAGGAAGAGACTGGTGAGTCCGGCGTTGACCTCTGCTTATAGCCAGCCTTCTCCTGAAACCGCCCCACGTCTGGTCCAAGGTCAGGAGGCCTTTGGCTGTCCTTCGTCTTCAGCGGCGTCGGAGGACCTTGAGTTGTTTGCAGGACCTTCTTGTCACGTAGGAGGAAGAGGTGATCTGAATCCATGCTCCGATATTCCTTTTAATGGAATTGAGATATCATGTTATTATGGTTATTGCTCTCTCTCTTTCTCACCTTTCTCTCTGTTTTTCCCCTCCTCTCTCTCTCTCTCTAACCTCCCCCCTCTCACTCTCTCTTGCCCCCATCCCTCTCACTCTCTCTTGCCCCCTATCCCTCTCACTCTCTCTTGCCCCCCCCCCCCCACTCTGTCTCCCTTTCCCTCCTCCCTCCCTCCCTCCCCCCGCCCGTCCTTCTCACTCTCTCTTTCTGCCCTCTCTCTCTCTCTTTCCCCCCGTCCCTCTCACTCTCTCCTGCCCCCCTCTCTCTATCTCTCTTCCTCTATCCCGTCCCTCTCACTTTCTCCTTCTGTCTCCACCCCCCTTTCTCTCTCTCTCTCTCTTTCATCTCACTGTCTTTCACTCTCATTTATTACCGATTTTACCCCCTTCTCTCTCTCTCTCCTCCCCTCTCTTTTCCACAACTTCCTCTTTCTCTCAATTTCTTTCCTTCTGTCCTATCATATCTCTCTTTCTCCACTCCCTCTTCTCTTTCTCTTTTTCTCTCTCACCCCTCCTCTCTGTCTCCTTCCCTCTGTCTGTTTGTCTGTATGTCTCCGTCTCTGTCTGTCTGTCTCTTTCTCTCTTAAAATATTATGAAACTGATAATGATATATATAATAATGTAATAAAATATGATAATAATAATAATGATACTAATACAATTACAAAAGGATATAAATAATATAAGTAATATAATAAATAATATAAAAAATATAATAATATAAATAAACAATACTAATGATAATAATAATGCTAATACTAGTACTAATAATAACAATAATAGTAATAGTAGTAATGATAATGGTAATAATATGAATATTATTAATTATTAAAACTAAATGATATATCGATCATATGAATAAGTGTTATAATTTCGTTAATACTGATATTAAAAAAAAAAAAAACATATTATTTGCACGCCAAATGACAATACGAAATCTGAAGCCAATGAATGAGAGACTTTAAAGCTGATAATTTCAGAAAAAGAAACAGAGTGGTGGCAATTATGAAATTACTGATATTTGGAACATCGTTTGGAAATACGAGACCTTGATGTGTCCAAAATTTCGAATCTCGAATTTTCATTTTTTATGATTTTTTTTGCTCGCTTGTGAATTTGATCTTCTTTTGTTTTCCATTTTGTTTTCGAAATACATCTAGTGACTAAACTCCAGAAAAAAAAATCTTTTGTGATTTTATGATGATGCAAAGCAAGAGACATTGTCATTTTAGATGAAAAAAAAAACGGCTTATGGATGAGAAAAAAGTGAGAAATATTGAAAACCAGTATCGAATATTGCACGCTTTGAAGCTTACACCATGTTGAGTTTTCCTGCGATCTTTTGAAACTACGTGTAAAAAACGTGACATTTCGTGAATTAAAGACATACGCATACAAGAAAAATGGAAAAAAACACCTCCCCACTTGCCACAGCCTCTTGTCAGGTCACGGTCGTCATAAATGTGTCATACCGTGATACGTTTGTTTTAAATAGTGAATGGACAGCGATGGAGATTTTTTTAAGTTGATTTCATAAACGTATTGAGGAATTAATGTAAGTTTACCTAATCACACACACGGACACCAAGGGAAGCGTCACTCTTACCAAATATATATATATATATATATATATATATATATATATATATATATATATATATGTTATATGACACTTTTTCAATACAACGAAAAGGCCTTCGAAATATCGTGCGTTTTCTTGTTCTTCCCCTCGTTGTTTTATTTACAGTTTATATATATATATATATATATATATATATATATATATATATATATATATATATATATATATATATATATATATATATATATATATATATATATATATATATATATATATATATACATATATTGTATACACACATGCGTTTTATTTACGTATATGCATGCGTGTGTATAAGTTAGTTAACACAACCGACTTACACCGCGAGCAATCTAAAGAATACTAAACGAGGGAAGGAGTATGAGACATATTTTTCCTAGAACAATAAATGAAAGAATATTAACTTTCCAAATCGTCTTTGATTCAGAAAGGTTTGTGTTTACTTATTTCTTGAAAATAAAAACGTATTTCAATTCCCCCTCACTTAACACCACCCAAAACCGTGTCCTTTCTCCCGTAGTTCGTCCTAGACTTATCCCTGGCACACCCGTTTTCCGTGGACAGTAGAAGCGGCAACACTGTGTATATTTACATTTTC